GGTGAATGATTGATATCCGGTTGTTTGTACGTGAGAGAAAAACTTACGGTTTGTCAAGACCAAGTAAGGAGTTTATGTGTTCTGATCTCACAACTTCAACATTTCTAACAGTTCGATGACATCTAGTGAACTCGAGAGTATTCAAATTCGGATGTAGTAATTTGTTCCTAACGTTTCGAATATTTAACAGTGATAAATCATTTGAGAGAATTTGGTGGGATGATAAACTAAAGCCTTGATGGAATGAGCGAGAAAAATAAGAATCCTTGTTTATACAAAGAAATGAGGTCAGTTTTGTTATTTCCCTGCGTATTTTAGGAAAATGGGATATGGATGAAAGGGTCATCACTTTTGACAAGTTGAAGATCGAGGAGATGATGAAAATTGGAAAAAAAAAAATTTTTTTTTCATTATCTACTGTGTTTGATTCTCACTATCACGTGATTGTGTACGTTTTGCGTGATACGCGTGCAAGCCTTTACTCTTGGACGCCTATAGGTGAGCATGAAACAGAATTTTTTCTTTGGTGCTTTCATTTTCGTCGCGTATGGATAATAAGTTTTGGAGGACGCGAAGGTCAAAAGTACTAGTGATAATCAATTTGTGTTACGTATTCGATGTCGAACACTACCACAAAGAAAATTTTTCTAAAGACACGTAAAAAAAAGTGTTTATGGAATGATACGAGAAGAATGATAATATTATATTGTTTTAAGATCGCTTGTTTATTATTTTACTTATTATACTGTAAATAAAGAATTTAAAACTTTGGGGTTTTTATTCCGGAAAAAGTCATTTTCGTTTCAAGCACCAGCTATCACATTATTGCTTGATGTTTAAATGTTTAAACTGAAATACAGTAATAATTACTGCACGGTATTACAATAATTGGGATATCGGAATAACGACATTTTCTTATATCTTTTCATTATTTTTCATTCTTACGGGAATTCGCCCTTTTTTTTTTCTTCATACGTAAATATGTTTTAGTAATTCCCATTTTCATAATTGCCGAATGAGATACCTTTTGCCATTTTACCCGATAGAGGTCCAGTTCTTATTGCCCGTAGTCAAACAGATGTATTAATTATAGCGTTGGTCAATTTTTAAGTGCTGTATCACACTAAATTACGTATTTCATTGTAGCCGCTCATCAATTTTCCGAATTGAGGTTTCACACCCGTAACGATAGTATTTAATTTATTTTTTTGGCCGGAAAATAATGTCCTTCATAAAAACCTCGTTGAAAAACGCAAGGGACGCGATCAAAGCCAAAAATTATGAAGACGTGATAAAACATTGTCAGAATGTTTTGCAGTATGAAGCTGATAATTATAATGCGTAAGCCCATTCGATTTTTATCCCGGATGTTTCATTCATCATCTTTTTGACCCGATTTTTTTTTTGGTGGTAAAATTTAGCTATGTGTTCCTTGGAGTCGCTCAACTGAATTTGAATAAGCCAGATGAAAGTGAAAAGGCTTATCAAAGAGCCATTGAGATCAATTCTTCTCAACTGCTTGCATGGCAGGTGATTTCGAATTTATGAAAATATTAACTTCAATCTGTTTACTAATGTATCTCTATCTGTCCTATGAATTAATTAATTGTAATGATTTGTTATCGAACGTGATTAGGGTCTTGCAAACTTTTATGAAAAACAGGAAAACTGGGTAAAGCTTGGTGAAACTTGGGTCGAATTATTGAATAGGCATAAGGAGAAATCGGAAAGGTATGATCGATTCGCTTTGGTCTATCGTCCGTCATTTGTAACATGTACGGACGGATTCCATGAAAATTTTTTTTTATCTAGCAAAGAAGCGTTGGATATGATAAACAAGATCGTAGACTTACATTTGAATAAAGAAAAGGTTAAGAAGAAGGTATTTGAAGAGATAATAAGTTATGATCACATGATTTATTTTTTTTGTTCGCGAGGAGGCATCTAAGGAAACCATTTTACTCCTAAGGCGGTTGAGACTTTGAAGTATTTATTGCCAACAAGTCCATATTATAAATTGATACAAGACTTGGACAATTTTCCACCACCAAAGCAAACACTATTACGTATAATAGAATTGCTAGAGCAGGACGAGTCGGAGACAATTAAACGTGAAATCGAAGCAAGAAGATATCGACTTAATGCGGGAACGCTAGCTACTATTAGAGTTCAGGTTGAAAATGAAGTTTACGGAAGTTCAGAGGTAACTTCAACAACATGTTTTTTTTATCGATTGATTTGTCCCTCTTTGTCAACTTTATTATTTTTCAAATCAAATAGTTGGAAGGATTCTATGACTCCCTATTTGAAATTGTGGATAATAGTTCGGAGGCCTCAGATATCAACAAATCTGAGATTTCGGTGGGATATATCTCACATCTTCAAAAGAAACTGAACGCCATTCCCTCAGAAAATAGACGACGGGTATTGACCGCGGTTATTTTTGTCAGTCGGTTGGTTAATCATTTAATTCCATGCAATTAAGGTGTTAGCTTGTTTTCAGTTGAATGAGAAAATTATCAAACGAGCCGAGCAGCTGGTCGAGCAAAATGATACAACTTCAAGTTTGCCATATGAAATACTTATTGATAGGACCAATGCCGTTACACTAGGTAAAATTCATTTTCGGTGTTTCTATTTCTATACTAGGTATATGTTAGATGTTTTTTCTCATAAATCGAATCAATGTCCTTTTAGATGATTACGATGAAGATTTGCTGAAAGGTTATTGTGAGAAATTTCCTGATACTGGCCTGTCAAAAATAATTCAGGCGTATTTCAGGGCATTGCAAGGAGATACATCTGAAGCTCATGAACTTTATCAAGTAGTGGTCAAGTTATTTTATTTTA